ATTAGCTCATTTAATCACCTACTCCACTGATATACTGTCCTAAAGTAGATCTATGGGTCACTTATGTTTGTGCTAACTGAACCAAAACACACCGAACTGCGCAGCACGGACCGGCGACATGTAAAGTTTGTCAAAGTTGAGCTACAGCAAAAACTATACGTTTTTAATTAAAACATTTTACTGACCTGTGAAATGTGATTCCCTCGGACATTGTTATCTTGCTCTCATGGCGTTTTCAATTAATATTAAAACACTGCTTCCCTTTTTCAGATTCCTTGCTTAATTGTGTCATTTCCCTGACCACCGATACTCCTGACTCGATTTCAAGAAGACCTGCACAGAAAGTCACGTGATGTCTAATCACTAGATCAGTGTTTTTCAACCACTGTTCCGCGGCACACCAGTGTGCCGTGGAAATTATTCAATTTCATCTATGGTACCGTATTTTCCAGACTATAAGCTGCTAGTTTTTTCCTAAACTTTGAACCATGCGGATTGTGGCCCGGTGCGGCTTTTCTGTGTATTTTTCTTCAACCACCAGGGGGCTCTCTAGCAGGAATTGAATCATTAGAAGTCAAAATTGTAAATCAAAGAAGAACGCGTTAATTTTCATTTAAAACAACCACATGCTAGCAGCAGGCACGACGGAGAAATGTTTTCAAACTCATATGATGCAGCTTTTAAGTTGAGGGCTGTCGAGCTGCCACTACAGGAGGGAAATAGAGCCGCTGCACTTAAGCTCGGTGTGAACGAAACCATGGTTAGTAGTGGCTAGCGGCGTAGTCATGTAATTTTCTTACCACTAGATAGCAGTAGGTACAGAGCATTTTACATTAAAACAAGAGAATTAGTGATGCATGAATGTTACAGGCATAGACATAATATAATATATATTATTATTATATTATGTCTATGGTTACAGGTAGCGATGAGAGCATCGTATCTAGTAAGACTGTGACGACAGTGATGGAAAAGACAGTGAAGCTCAGCAGTAGTTGGAAAGAACATGGGTCCATTTCCCATAACATATCTATGTGAAGTGAGCTGCTCAAGCCTGGCTACTATAAAAAC